CTTGGATGTTGGAACGTTTAAAGTTGTCCCAGAGGTTCCTCAGCCTCTCCTCATTTTTTTGAATACTTGTTTCTTCATTCTGTTCCAGTTAGATGTTTATCTCTTCCTTTTGTTCCAAATCATTGATTTGAGTCCCAGTTTCCTTACCTTCACTATTGGTTCCCTGTATATTTTACTTTATTTCACTTTGTATAGCCTTCATTTCTTCCTTTATTTTGTGACCATACTCAACCATTTCTGTGAGCATCCTGATTACCAGTGTTTTGAACTTTGATCAGATAGGTTGGCTATCTCCTCATTGCTTAGTTCTTTTCCTGGAGTTTTGATCTGTTCTTTCATTAGACCCTTTTTTTTCTTTTTTTTTTTTGTCTCAGCACACCTGTTACATTGTAAGGCGCAGAGCTTTAGGTATTGGCCAGGGTGAGGCAACCCATGTGGCTGCATTGTGGTGCTATATGTAGGGGAGGGGTCAGAGAGGGAACTATGCCGCTTGCTCAGCTCTTGTCCCACTTTAAGTCACTTCCCCCACTACCCACAAGTGACTTGGGCCCTTCTGGTCCTGATTCCTGAGTGGGTGTGTTTGTGTATGTTCTACAACCCCATGGACTCTTCCTTGTAAGACTGGGAGTTTCTTCTACCACCACAGCTTTCACAGGTTTTTACAGCCAGAGGATTTGAGACTTTATTTCTCCACACTGGAACCCTGGATTGCACCGTTTGTCTCACTCTCCAGTTGTTCCTTCTGGTTTATATACATGCGAATGTGGGGCCACCAGGTCTGCCAGCTGCTGCCTTACTGTGCGCCCTCTCCGCCCCTCCTACCAGTCTGGATGAATATTTCTTTTTTAACTCCTTGGTGGTCAGACTTCCATACAGCTTGATTTTCTGGCAGGTCTGGTTGTTTTTTGTTTTAAAATTGGTTGTTGTTGTCCTTCTTCAGGTTGTATGAGGAAGCAAAAGCATTTTACCTACACCTCTGTCTTGGCCAGAAGTCTGATTTAGCTATTTTAAAATGTTAAATCTGTGCTGTAGGATATGCTGAAACTTTCTTCTTCCCCCAAGGTTCTCTCTGCTAGTCTAATAATTAAATCCACATAGGAAAGACTAATGAGAGAATAACCAAATTTAATATATACACATGCATTGGAACCCTACATACATGAGTGGTTCAAAGACAGAAAGGGGAAATGAGGTATATATGACATTCTGAGCTAAGGATCACCTTGTGGGTTTAGAGGGGAGGAAGGCCACTGAAGGATGATAAGAAGAGCAGATGTTCAGTAATTAGTAGTTTGTCCTGCTTTATAGCTAGGTCAAACCAGATTATCTCTGAGTATCTCTTATTATGGACAAGGCCCCTAATTCAAATTTTACTAGGTAGTTGGGTGGGGGTAGGGACCCCAGAAGTTTCTCTTCAGATGACAGGGTCATTGATGTGTCAACGTAAGCAATGTCCAAACCTGTAAGAATTTTTATGAGTTTATCTGAGCTAAAGTGACAATTGGCCAGGAAGCAAAACCTCAACAGATTGAGAAAATGCTCCAGAAAATGGCAGTTTGGCACCTGATTTTGTATATCACGATCAAAAGAGAATGCATAAATGGGTTACATGAATTCTATTGATGATAGATTAGGGAAGCAGGAAAAAGCAAAGCAGGGAAACCTCTGGTATTGGATAAAAAAATAAAACAATAGACACATACTTCTTTACATAGGTAAGGTACAAGATAGTTAATAGTCAACAATTAACATGATAATGATAATAATGAGAGGATTTGTGATCTCTCTCCAGTGTGGTGCCTGTGCTTTGCAAGGTCCAGAAAAAGGAAATTTGACATTCCATAGATGTGTTATCAGTACATGCAAAAAGATAAAAGACAGGCTTATTTAAGGTAAAGATTGACTTTTGTTTGGAAGATTCCAGCCTAGGACAATGACTACTGGCATGACTCGGTTTTAGTTAGAAAGGTTTTAACTTCAGACCATCCTATGTGGTTACTTTAGGTCTCTGAGTTCGTAAGGCCATCATGCAGTCCTCCCCTGAGCGTGTCAGGTTTCATATGTGGCTCCTTTTATCCACAGTTGCCTTTAGCTCAGAATAATCCACATACCAAAGAGGCACATCTTGGGGCTGACTTTTTGAAACCACTACAGTTCTTATTCTGTATTTGGAACTAATTGAGTTTACAAATGACATATCTTGTGATACTATAGACCTTTACATTAAAACATTTTATTTGGGTGTTTTCCTTTTAAAATAGTGTCTTTGAAGTAAAGTAAAAGCTTTATCCTAAGATTAATTCTTCATTTTAGGTAGGAATTAGAAATCTTCATCTTTGCTTTCTCCCACCTCCCATATCTTTCACCAGTGGATTTTTTCATGGAACCCACTTACGCATCTTCTATTTGATTGTAATGTAGAAATTAAGGTGCAAAACTGCCATTTTTCCAGAGTATTTTCTGTCTTCAGGTTTTGCTTCTTAGCAATTGTTGTCACATTAATTCTGATAAACTCATAAAAATTTTTTCAGGTTTGGATGTTTATTACATTGACATTTTATTGTATTGTAATAAATTAGCTGAAATTATTAATAATTAAATAATTAAAGATGAATTTCATTAGTAGAATAGCCTCTGAAAGACTTTTTAGACAATTTTTAAGTAGTGTTGTGATTTATCCAAACTAAAACCACATTTACTTAAACCTTTTTTTGTTAATATTTATTTCATGTATATTTGTTATCATTTAATGTTTAAATTTGTCATTCATTTATACCATCAGTCATCAAAATATTTTATGAACAGTATTTTATGTCCAAAAACAACATATCCCTAGATAAAATGGTTCACATGTAACAGGGTACAGAGCATGGGGTCCCGTGAAAATAGAAGAAACCCCCAGTCCTGCAAAGGGCAGGAGGGGGGCAGGAAAACAGTGGAAAATACAGTGTTTAAGGCACATTGCATAACAAAGGCAGACTAACAGCTCCTGCCTTCCTGAAGGGAAGAAGGCTGCTGCCTGGAGCACAGTTGTGTGCCTGGCTGTGAGAATGTGCACTGGCAGAGTGACTTGTGATTTTGCCAGGGCAGGGGGCAGAGCTCATGCAGAACCTGCATGCGCTGTGGAAGCGGATGCACTCCCTGATGCTGGTGTATCACTGAGAAATCTTGCCCTGACTAAAGATGGAAGCCGAAAGAGGATCAAAGACACTGGGAAGCTGACAAAAATGGTGGACCCAAGTCACATCCAAGATTACTAATGCACCATAGGAAGAGCCAGATGTTTGGTCACACAGGAAAGTCTAAGCCAAGCATTTAAATTAGAGTGGACTGAGTAACAGGAAGACTGAAAGGAAGTCTGCCACAGGTTTGGGAGTGTGCTGTAGGGGAGGTTGGGAGGTCTGCCTGGAGGTCTAGAGGTGGGGAGACAGTGGTGACAGGGCTGTCGGAACTGCAGGGACTTGCCTGGCCAGCACACAGACACATGGGAGATGTTTGGAGGTGAACTGTGACCTAGAATGCTGGGCTGCAGACTTCTGCTTTTTCTGAAGCACAAACAGAGAAGTCACTCTCTTGGTATGGGGACTCTTGGTATGGGACTTCAGACTTGGTACAAGCTCCCTCTGTGATTTTGGCATTTGGATGCTCTGGGCTTCAGGCCCTGCTCCCCCCACATATGAGAGCACTCATGGGACCAGGAGATGTGGGGCCTATCAGGGGCTTAGACCCCACGGAGGATGGGAGCCTACTTCTCAAGGCAGAATCCCACACAGGGACGTGTGCCTCCCTGGGCTCCATCCTCTGGGACAGTGTAACAGGGCACATAGTTTCCTGAACTGCTACATAGAGACTGATAATAGTGCACCCCAGTTCCTGAAGGAGAGAACTGCTGTGAGAAGATGGCAACTCTAAAATCCACAAGTGCACATGCCAGAGAGGATGGAAATCTGTTTGCATTACCAGCTTAAAGATAGATAAATAAAGGGAGAACTTCTGGGCATGGTTTTGGCTTGTAGCCTTTTGGCAAGCAAGGGAAGTTTCTGGGTCTCATGGGAGACAGGGCTCTGAGCAGGAGTGCTCTTAGCACCACCCGAGGTTGGAACCCTGTTAATAAAAACCTGTTTCCTTCAGCACAACTCGTTGAGTTATTTGAATCAAGGTGCCAAGTGGCTGAGCCCCAGTTTGCACGGTTATACACGCTGTACCAACTCTATCATTCTTAGTCTATCCCATTGCCCTCATCTACTTTTTCACCAGGTAGCATTTCTCACCATGTGCTCTTATATAAAATATATCTGTTTGTTTTTTAAAAATCTACCTTCCCCACTAGAATAAAAACTCATAAAGTCAGGAACTTTTAATTGTTACAGCTGTATCCCCAGCTTGTACAGCAGTGCTTCTTTCTTATCAACCATTTAATAAATATATATGGAATGAATGGATGAATAATGCTTTGGTAGTGAGTGGGTTAATGCATATCTTTAAGGAGTAGCATATTTAAATTTTAGTCAGTTATCAATAAAATGCTAGAAAGGAGAATTTTCTGCCTTTCCCATATATAAATTGTTCCAGGAGATGAGACTTGAACAATTCTGAGGTTACAGTGGTTACAATTTCCAGATCAGTTTGTTGGTAAGAGTGGAAGGAAGGTGTTAAAGTCTCTCTGCAACCACTTTTGTTCACAGTGGTCTATGAGGCTTTGTGATTTCCTTTGCAGCTCTTGGTACAGTGAGAAGCAGCATGATGTTTATTAGTACTCTCTGAGGGGTGCTGTTTTGTTCAGCTTTTGAACTACAGAAAAGTGTGAAAATTAGGTCACACCTCATGAAATTTAAATAACAAAACACTTTACCTAGCTTAGTAATACCCTAGCTCTTCTACTGTTAAATTTCATATTGTTTAAAATGGGAATTATTGGTTTGATTTACTATTACAACTTGAGATAGGTTTTTTTCCTTTATTTTAATATAACTAACATGGTTTTTATTCTTCTTCCTTAGAATGGATTGGGGAGATGAATATTCCCATAATTCCTTTGACCTACATTGTTTGTTAAATTCATTTCCTGGAGACTTGGAGTTTAAACAGATCTTCAGTGACATTGATGAAAAGATAGAACAAAATGCTGCAAGGTAAATATTGCTAATTATTTAAAAGAAGTTGGTTTCATGTTTAATTTATACAACCTTTACCTTCTGTTCCCTACTGATAGATAATTTTAGGTTTCCATTGTCATTAACTTTGCTGAAAAAAATTGATGAGACCTTCCTCCCTAAATTTTAACATGATTTTGATTAGTACTTTAAATAAAACTAAGGAGAAAAAAGGCACTGCCTTCAAATAAAGTCTAATTGAATTAGTATGAATGATTTCTAAGATTTTGCCAATATTGTTGGCCTGGATTATCATTAATATGTTTAGAATTAAACATTCTTGTTTGATGGCAAAACACAAAAATTTTTAATTTGAAATTAAGGTATTGAAATAAAATAATAGTATAAAACCATGAATTGTTTGAGTTGCTGAAAACAGAACATTAAAAATAAATTCTTTGAATGTGTTGGGAGAAAGCCCTAAAAGTCTCAATTCAGGATTGATTCTGAAGAACTGACATGTAGCCAGCCTAATTCAAATTCATAAGGGCTTTAATAGGAGAAACTTACATACATGGGCAAAGCAGCTGCTGCTAGAAATAACATCAGGCAGTTATCACACTTTATATATTCATTAACCTCCTTCCTGGGAGCATGACGTTGCTTTGGGCAGCATTCCTGTTTTCTGGGTAGTCAGCCAAGGCTGAGGCTACAGAGAGTTAAGATTCCAACATTTCCCAGATGCCTTTGCTGCTGGAGCCATATTGCATCTAAAGTGAGTTTCCTTGCAGTATGCAATGTCTGTCATTTTACGTCTCCTTATTTACTTTGCAGGGTGGGGCCTAGGTCCTCCACAGGGAATTAAGTCATATTAGCCTTCACTGCCTATTCCAAAAGTGTTCACAAACATTGAGGGAGGCTGGGACAACTAAGTAGTTTCCCACTAATACATGTTCTTTGATAGAAAGGACTTGGCCTTTGTATGTATTTCTGGGCCGTTGAGTCAAGTCAGTTCAATTATTTAAATCCTCTTGGTCAAAAGTTCTAGTAATTGACCTCATGTACGTTGCAAATATGCAAGCCACAGTAAAAATTTCTGTTGTAGAATAATACAGTATTTCCTTTTTTTGAAATTTAACATGTAGTTATATTAAATTGTCAAAGAACTGAATCAAGCAAGTGGAATGTTCCTGATTTTTTTCCTCATTTCATGTAGAATACAGTTAATTTTTATCATTGTATAATAATGAGCATAGGTAACAGATTCAAAAGATAACGTATTGTTGGGAATTATAATGAAGACAAAATATTCTCCCATTCCAGAAATCCTCTCCAGAAAGGCAAAAGAGAAAGAAAACACTTTTATTATTCAGTAAGCATTAAACCAGAATGTAGTGCCCATCATAGGCAATTTGCTAACAGATTTCAAGGACAGAAAGGATGTCACCCCTTCATGCTGTGTAGTAACTAACTACAAACCATTACATATATGTTCCCAAGGTAACTGGTCCCCAAACATAGGACTTGACAGCACATTTTTCACACATAGTTTATGCTAACTTTATCATGGTTAAAAAACACCTATGTTAGCTATTTGGCTTTATCATGAGGAGAAACAAACTTCTCATATCTTTATGGCAAGAAGTAATTTTGTAAATTGGAACACTACAGCCACTGAAGTTAAGCTCTTACAGACCACTTCCACAGAAACTGGGAGATAGGGGAGCTCTCTCCCTTGCTGTTTGCATTTTGGAAAAGATGGCTTTCAGGTTCTTCAGAAAGGCAATTGCGGCTAGGAAAATTGACAAAAGGCCTGTCTAGTCTTCCAAGGGATACATGTCAAAGAGATGAAAAGGTGCTTACAATTACAAGTTTTTAAGGTAAACGCTTTAAGAAAATGGGACAAAGGGAACTCTTTTCCCTTACTTAAAACAAAGAATTAAGTCTCTTATTTTTATTAAGTATTTGCCCTTACAGTATATTTATATTTTTTATTATTTTTATTGTATTTTTTTACTACAATTTATCTCCCTTATACTCCCCCTCTGCAATCACCACACTGTTGCCCATGTCCATGAGTCCTTTTTCCTTTTTGTTCAATCCCTCCATCGCCTATCTCCCCTAACAGAGCTGTCAGTCTGCTATCTATGAGTCTTTCTTTATTTAGCTTGTTCTTTGCTTTCTTTATTTTGTTGGTTAGATTCCACATATAAGTGAAATCATATGGCTGCTTCCCTATCTTGGCAATTGTAAATTATGTTGCAATGAACATTGGGGTGCTTATGTTCTTTCAAATTAATGTTACGGATTTCTTCAGATAAATTCCCAGAAGTGGAATCACTGGGTCATAAGGCAGTTCCATTTTTAATATTTTGAGGTATTTCCATACTGCTTTCCACACTGGCTGCACCAATCTGCATTTTCACCCGCAGTACAAAAGGGCTCCCCTTTCTCCACATCCTCACCAGCACTTGTTTTTTGTTGATTTGTTGTTGATGGCCATTCTGACAGGTGTGAGGAGATATCTCATTATGGTTTTAATTTGTATTTTTCTGATTATTAATGGCGTTTATCATCTTTTCTTATGTCTGTTGGCCATCTGCATGTCCTCTTTGGAGAACTGTCTCTTCAGGTCCTTTGGACATTTTTTAATTGGATTGTTTGGGTTTTTTGGTGTTCAGTTTTATAAGTTCTTCATAAGTTTTAGATATTAACCCCTTATCAGATATATCAGTGAATGTGTTCTCCCATTCGGTGGGTTGTCTTTTTATTTTGTTGATGGTTCACTTTGCTATACAAAAAGTTTTTAGCTTGATATAATCCCATTTGTTTATTTTTCTTTTGTTTCCCTTGCCTGAGGAGACATATAAGAAAAAAAGACTGCTACAAACAATGTCTGAGATTTTACTGCCTATGTTTTCTTCTAAGGATTTTATTGTTTCAGGTGTAACATTTTAGTCTTTAATCCATTTTTAATTTTTTCTTGTGTGTGGCATAAGAAGGTGGTCTGTTTTCATTTTTCTGCATGTAAATTGGACAGCCAATTTTCCCAACACCATTTATTGAATAAACTATCTTTAGTTCATTGTATGTACTTGCTTCCTCTGTCAAATATTAATTAGTTGTAAAGGTATGGGTTTATTTCTGGGCTCTCTATTCTGTTCCATTGATCTATGTGTCTATTTTTATGCCAGTACCATGCTGTTTTGATTACTATGGCCTTATAGATATAGTCTGATATAAGGTAGTGTGATCCCTCCAAATTTACTTTTTCTCAAGATCATTGTTGCCATTAGGGACCTTAGTGATTCCAAATAAACTTTTGAAATACTTGTCTTAGTTCTATGAAATATGTCACTGGTGTCTTGATAAGAATTGCACTACATCTATAGATAGCTTTGGGTAGTTTGGATATTTTAATGATGTTAATTCTTTCTATCCATGAATACAGTATGTGTTTCCACTTACTTGTATCTTCCTCAGTTTCTTTCCTCACTGTCTTATAATTTCTGAGAAACAGGTCTTTTACATCCTTGGTTAGGCTTATTCCTAGGTATTTTATTCTTTTTGAAGCCATTGTGAATGGGATGGTTTTCTTAATTTCCCCTTCTGTTAGTTTGTTACTGGCATATAAAAATGCAGCTAATTTCTGGATATTAATTTTGTATCCTGCTACTTAGTTCAATTCATTTATCAGTTCTAGCGGTTTCTTGGTGGAATTTTAGGCTTCTCTAAGGACGGTATCATGTCATCTGAAAATAAAGACAGTTTTACTTCTTTCTTTCCTATTTGGATGCCCTTCATTTCTTCTTCTTGTCTGATTGTTATCGCTAAGACTGCCAGTACTATGTTGAATAAGAGAGGTGAAAGTGGACATCCCTGTCTTGTTTCCCATCTTAGGGGAACGTTTGTATTTTTTGCTCATTGACTATGATGCTGACAGTGGGTTTGTCATATATGGCCTTTATTATGTTTAGGTGTGTTCCCTATATTCTCACTCTGCTTAGAGTTGTTATCATAAATGAGTGCTGGGTTTTATCAAATACTTTTTCTGTATCTATTGATGTAATCATGTGATTTTTGTCCTTCATTTTGTTGATATGGTGTTTCACATTTATTGATTTGCGAATGTTGTACCAGTTGTGCATTCCTAAAATAAATCCCACTTGATCATGATGTATGATCTTTTTGATGTTTTGCTATATTCAGATTGCTAATATTTTGTTGAGAATTTTAGCATCTAGTTCATCAGGGATATTGGCCTATAATTTTCCTTTTTTTTTTTTTAGTGTCTTTATCTGGTTTTGGAATTAGGATAATGCTTACCTTATAAAATGAGCTTGGGAGTCTTCCCTCCTCTTGAATTTTTTGAAATAGTTTGAGATGAAGAGGTGTTGGTTCTTCTCCTAATGTTTGGTGAAATTTATATGTGAAGCCATCCGATCCAGAACTTTTGTTTGTTGGGAGTTTTTTTATTTCTGCATCAATTTCACTAGGTATACTCTGTCTATTCAAATTCTTTGATTCTACCTGATTGAGTTTTGGAGGGTTGCATGTTTCTAGGAATTTATCCATTTTGAACAGGTTGCCCAATTTGTTGGCATAGAGTTGTTCATAATATTTTCTTAAAATGCTTTGTATATTTTTGGTGTCAGTTATTATTTCTCTTCTTTCATTTCTGATTTTATTTATTTGGGTCCTCTTTCTTTTTTTCTTGATAAGTCTGGTTAAAGATTTGTCAGTCTTGCTTGTCTTTTCAAAGAACCAGCTCTTGGATTCATTGATCTTTTGTATGATTTTTTAGACTCTATTTCATTTACTTCTGCTGATATTTATTACTTCCTTCCTCTACTTACTTTGGGCTTTGTTTGTTTTTATTTTTCAGGTTCCTTTACTTGTGAATTTAGAGTCTTTATTTGAGCTTTTTCTTGTTTCTAGAAGTGGTTGTAATGCCGTGACTCTCCCTCTTGGAATTGCTTTCCCAGTGTCCCACAGATTTTGGGTTGTTGTGTCCTCATTTTCATTCATTTCAAGGTATT